TCTGTTGTGCAAATAAGTTATAGGATGACATGGCAAATCGTTAAAAACTGTACATAAAATGTCATATTTTCACTGCATGTGAACAACTGTGTAACTCAAGCCAACACAGAGATACATAAAGAAGGACAATTTGTAAATACGCCCACCCAACAAAGACAGCAAATGGGAAAGAGAAGAGGAGGCAGGAAATAGTAGAAAAGAGACAGACTATCCCTGAAGGCCCCAGTGGTGATGTGACGCAGTTTAATTGCCCAACCCCCCCACCTCCTCCTCCCTCCTATGACAGCCCGGTCAGCTGCAAGCAACAAAACATGGTCAAGTGGGGGAGCATGCAGTAAACCAATCCAGTGGATGCAAAACTTGGGTAGATATGTCACACCCACATTAGATATTATATCAGTGATATTTATGCATAAATACAATCAGAGCAAATTTTTATATAATGCTGTATAGCAGGCAACAATGTAATGTTAGACTCGGTAAACATTTAAATACGGCAAAAAAGACAATAGAGAATTACTCTATTCTGAGAGATCACAAAGTGTTTTCACATAGCCAACAAAAGATTCCTAGACATATTAAAATGTCATACAAAGCCTCCAACCCCTTATCAAATGTAATCCCACTTTAAAAGGGTAATTGACAAATCCCCATAACAAAAGGGCTGATTGAGGCGGTAACCTTCTCTTACACAGTAAACACCTGGGTGTGGTTGAAGAATTAAAGGGTGGGGAGTTTAGGAGGTGTGGGACCCATTATACCAAATATGGGATTTCAGAATGACAAGAGAAATGAAGGAAAAATAAATATGATAAACATATCAATGTATGAGAGCTCAATTACTGATAGCAAACATTCTGTCATTTACAACAACAAAAAAATGCAACCATTATTTACACTTTCCAGTTATGTTGTTAAAACAGTCAATGTAACTATTTTACTAAAGGAACAGAGTAGAATACACAACAAACATGAAGGGAATTTAACACATCTTTACACAATTAGGAATATACAACTAACGTGCAAAACAGGCAAGGTAATTCCTCAGAGGGTTAATATTTGCTAAACATCATTTCACAAAGTCTACTATTGCATAATCATAGTGTAAAACATTTATAGACAGCAGAGCATGCTGGCTATACAAGAATAAATATAAACATTCAAATTATATGGACATGGTAAAAATAATTTGGTAGCTTATTTTGTCACATTTGGTCCCTACCCCCTTGACATCACTTGTAGGGTTATTCACTAAATTCCAAATTTTAGCAAATTAAATCTGAACAGCACATATTAAGCAAAAATAGCTGCCATAAAAATAAAAAAAAATGCAACTCTAACTATAATTACTGCATGACTAATTTATTCACTAAACTATGCACTAAAAACAAGTTGTATAGATTAACTGTGAAAGAAAAAGAATCATAAGATTACCTAATTTTTCAGTTGAGATCAGAACACTCCAGGATGATAGACACTGGAATCTGACCACAAACCACAATATCAACTGCCATACACATTCAGAGTGAATTAAAATACCCATTGCTTGATAAATTATTCCATACTAAAAAAAAAAAAAAAAGTTGTGTTTCCAACATTCAAATGTACCGAAGCACTCCAAATAGTGTCCTACCAATTATGCTAAAACACAACATGTGTAAATATAAATCCACACACCATTCCATCCATTGTGTACAGTTTCCCACAACTCTCAGCAAGCCGTTTGATTGGCTCTGACATATGTTACAAGCTTAGATACAAAAACGTTAGCCGCTACATGCTTAAATGTATCAAAAAAAAAAAAAACAGCTATAGGAGCCACCTTCATAGGCAACACCAATGTATCAAGCAGTGACTGACTTGAAAAATAGGCTGCACTTCCAGCAGTACACAAACAAAAAGTGGGGATTACAAAACATGTCCCGCTCTTGTAACATACAGATATAGTTCAAACCAGGTTAACCCCAAATGTTTATGGTGACACTGGCGCCAAAAAAAAAAGGTAGGGGTTAACGGGAAGTCTGGTTAGGTAGAAGAAATCAAGGGGGATCACGTTATGCAAAAAAGACCCTGACTACCCCTTTTTTTTCCTGGGGATTTAAAAAAATAAAATCTAAAATAAAATAAGTGGGGCAAAGTCCAAAGAGTGGAGCAGTCACCATGGAAACAATAGAACGTTCCTGCCGGTAGTTCCACTTTTAGAACTTTGCCCCAGAATGGTTCTATACAGATATCCCTGCCCACACTGTGACTTGTTTCACAGACACAGAAGGTGGAGAAGGGCAAATATAAAACTACATGTTGGATTCACAGGAGGTAGGTGGCTCCATGGAAAGCTGGGGATCCGATCCCCCTTACATCCTAATAAAATCAGAGAACCCTGAGAGTGATATTCATGGAGGGAGGGGGTACGTATGTGGATC